CTTTTTGAGTTTTATCGAGTCTTTTCTTTGTTTTTAAAGTCTTTTCAGGTTAAAACAYGTTTGGATGAAGTTTAACGTCAACATGAAGTAAGGAATCGAAGAAAGGGACAAAGGAAAATGAAAAGAGGTCAGATCGATCGATCCGAATTTTTAACAAAGAATCAGAGCACCTGAGGATCGATCTGTTTGAAGTTTTAACAAGTGGATCGATCGATCCGAATTTTTAACAAAGAATCAGAGCACCTGAGGATCGATCTGTTTGAAGTTTTAACAAGTGGATCAATCGATCCGAATTTTTAACAAAGAATCAGAGAACCTGAGGATCGATATGTTTGAAGTTTTAACAAGTAATTCGATCGATCCGGTCCCCAGACCTGCACAAAAGAGAAAAAAAAAACCAGCTCACCTAATCCCACTTTACCTTTGACAAAAACGTGTTTTAGCCTATAGGAACTTGTTTTTCATCTCATTATTGAACAACTTTTACTTTTCTTGTTCTTAGCTTAAGATTTTCTTGTTCTACAACAATGTGCTCGGTCGTGTTGCTCGGACCAGCTTCTTTGCTAGCTTCTATTTTCTCGCTAGGCTTCAACCATTTTCTTCCGAAATACCAGGATAGCAACGGCGTGGCTATTGCAGCTGCGATGATCAAAATTCTAACCACACAAATCCCCGACATCGTTTTTTGTTACCTTCTTCTCGATGATTATGATATTAAAAAAGGAAGAAGAGAGTAAAAGGCAGAGCAGAATCGTTTGTTTAATTTGATGATCAAAGTTGGTTACGAGTTGTTGCTATATATATAGGCAGGAACTATTCGAAAGACTTAGAAATTTACCATTTTGATAGAAAACTTGCTTGTGATAATACCTTTTTTTTCATCTTTTCAATTAAAAAAAAATAGAAATATCCTTTATCAAAATCTCATAAACTCGCAAAAAAAAAGAAAATTTTATAATTAGATTATAACATTTTTTTTCCTTCTTCTTAACCTCCTCTCCTT